GCTTCACGGCCCGGGTGTTAGTTTCATGTGGCTGCTGGAGTGATAGGGCTGGAAGGGCTGCAGCAAAATCATGAAGAATGCTTGCTTCTCACGGCTTTCATACGACGTGCTTTTCCCTGAGAGTGATGATTTCCTGGAGATTACAGTTACAAGAGTCAAATATGCAAGTGCTCTAGGCAATCTGAAGGAGGGACTGGTTTGTACGAAAGGAGGCAAGCCCCAACGATTTGGAGTTCTCTGTCTCACTTACCTCTTCCAGAAAACCCAGCACAGATGTGTTGAGCAGGCCAGGCTGTGCCCAGGAAGAAGCCACTGTCACGTAGGTAGCAAAATCCTGGCAGAGGGCTGAGTAGGGGCTGAGATGCCGCCTGGCTCCACTCAGAGCCCTGGCTGTGTCTGTCCAGGATGGCGGCATCTTTTCTAATTCATACAAAGGCCTAGAGAGGTGCCTCTACTTGCACAGACATACCTTACAGGTCAGCAGTGGCAATGGTGATGGGAGGGCTGTCTGGGGACACAGACCGGAAAGCTGGTGTATTTAAAAGAAATCTTTGCATTCAGCCAAAAGCCGAGTGGGACTCTAACTCCCTCAAAGGGTTTACAAGGAGCACCTAAGCCCCCTCGAAGCTCCTCCCCCTTGTTCCAATTTCTAGCCTAGTTGTTGCCAACTCCAAGCTCAGCCCTCGGGGGAGTCACCTGCCCTAGACTTCTTGCCTGATCCTCCTCCCCCACCAGTCTCCTGGGTTGCCTTCCAAGCAAACTCTAGGTGCTGTGAATACCTTGGAGTGGTTACGAATTAGGCCATAGGCTCGGGTGCCAGAACAGTCACACTGCCTTAGTTTTGTTAAATCAGCAGCAGCTGGTCTCTGAGCCCTTTTGCTCTGAACTGGCAGAAATTCAGTCGTGGTGATTTTGATGCCCTCCCCATCCTCGGGGTGACTCGTGGCCCTGAACATGGGCAGGGCTTTAGTTGTCCGTGGGCCCTGCTGGTAGACTCCTCGACTAAGCATGTCCAGTTCTGAGGGGCCGGAGGTTCTGCTGCAGCTCAGACCCCGGGGGCGTGGCCGTGTAGCATGCTTCTGTGCTGCTGAATCTAAGCTCCATGAGAGCAGAGAGTTGTTTTTGTTCATCACTGTGTCCCCAGAGCCCAGATGCTAATAGACACTTAACATTTATTGAACACAAGTATATGTTTGAGGACTTCATGTCTGAACTGCAGATATGTTTCCTCCTGGAGACAGCCTGGAGACGTCTGGAATCCCGGAACCTCTGTCTGCCGTCCTGGCTGGGCCAGTCTCCCCTCCCTAACGGGGGCTTCCCCCACCCCCATCCCTCCACTATCCCCTCTAGGAGGTCAGAGTGCGGCAGGATAGTAAGAAGCTAGAAAAATTCCTGGGCGAGTGGAATGGGGAAACCGAGAGAAGACAAAAGAACAGGCCAAACAGTTTAAGTAACGTACAGCCAGCTGGTGAATGGTAAGAACTTACTCTCCCTAACCAAGGACACTTGAGAGTGAATGGTTTATACCTCCCCTCCTTAACCAAGGAATGCATAGCTTAAATCCCCCTGGTCTGGGAAATAGAGAACAGAGACACAATGTCATTTGTGCCACCTAAACCCAAGGACAGATAGGGTCAGGGCAACAAATAACAAAAACCCCGGTAAAAGCCAGATAGACTCAAAAAGAATGACGCTGGCACCCTCTGCCAGGCCAGCCTGACCCCAGGCTGTACCCAGAATTCCTCCCCATCCAAAATACCATCCTTTGGCAAATGAAGGCAAGTGCAGCATGACCGCCCAAGCATCCTCCAGGAAGAAAGCCAGAGAGCCAGAGCCCCCGAGAGTCTTTCTTTTATTTCAGATCATCTGGGTCATAATTCCATGTGCTCTGAAGGCGTTCGGCTTCTCAGCCAATCCCACCCTAGACGGTTGCCTCAGGCAAACTCCTCCCCACAACAGTCCTTCACTCCTGTTACTTCCTCCTCCCCCAGTCTTCCCCTTGTTTCACTGTCCCCAGCCTTCATAAATGTTCTCTCAAAATCACCTGGACTCATACTGTGAAATCTTCCCTCCACGAAGTCAAGAGCCCACACACTACAGGCAGACCTACTCCACGCTGGTGCCTGTCCAGTAGCAAAAGGACAAAAGCCCGGAGGTGGCTTCTTCAAGGAGTTATAGACAAAAACAAACAAACAAACAAACAAACAAACAAACAAAAGCCCTACCTGGTGTTGCTCAGCGGGTTGGGTTTCATCCTGCAAACTGAAAGCGAGAGGATAAAGCGCTATTTGCCATCCTGGTGCCCTTTGCCGAGTAGGCCTTTGACCTTAATTAAATATGGCTGCCATTTCACTCTTCTGAGCTTCTGTCCCCGAGACTGGAAATTACCGGAAAGCAAGAACAGCATGTGACTAAGCGCTCCCTATAGCCAGCGGCAGAAGATAACATTTGCAGCTTATGCAAAACCAACAGAAACCTCCTGTGTTGCAAGGCCCCCAGCAACCCAGGGGCCGCAAAACGGTGACTTCCTCCCACCCTTTTATAATCCAATTACAATCCAATAAAAACTCAGAGCCTCTACATTTCGCTGCTGGTGCCCCTTTCCACTCTTGAAAAGTGAATAAAAACTTTGCTCTCTACATTTTCTTCTCTTTGTGAGTTCTTTCACAGTCCATGTTGTTGACGACCCCAGTAGAACGGTAGACCACTCCTTTCCTGGCCAGGGCACGTGCCTGGGTTACAGACCAGGCCCCCTGGTTGTGGGGGTGTGAGAGGCCACCGACTGATGTATCTCTAGCACATCCTTGTTCCCCTCCCTCTCTTTCTCCCTTCTTCCCCTCTCTCTAAAAATAAATAAAAATAAAAAATCTTAAAAAGAACCTGTTGCCTTCCTCCTGGCCACGTCCTCCCTTAAGGGAAGGGATCTTTGCTACCTGCTTAGAGCGGGGTTTAAAAAATACAGAGAGAACACAAATGAACACTTCAACCAATTCCCCAGGCACAGTCTGTTTGATTCCTCCCTAGTCCCAGTTACTAATTCCCTAGAGTAGACCCTCACCACCCAGTACGAGGACTTCTCTGCCTGAGCTTCCTTCCTGGTATGCCCCAAACCCATCTTCCACAGTCAGTGTGATCTTCCTAAGGTGGTTTGTGTCGCTGCCCTAGTTAAGATTCTTCCATGACTCCCCACAGCTCTCAGCTCAACAACTGAGCATGGCCTGGCTTCTGCCTGCTTCCCTGGCTCAGAACCCCACGCCCTGATACCACACAACACAGCTCCTTGGGACGTTTCAGCATCTCTGTCTTGGCAAAGTTGCCTCTTCTGCTTGGGACACCCCCCACCCCCCCATATTCCCCTTCTTCTAGGTAACTCCAACTGTGCATTAAGGCAAACCATGCAAGTACATGCCTGGTGACATAAAGTAACAGGAAGGACACAGGAGCACCTGAGAAGTCTTTCTTGAAAAAAAAAAATCAAACCTAGATGTTATCAAACCTTTAGATCTAACTACCAATTTATAGGAAATATGGGGGATGGAGGAACATATTAAATGACACCATCAAGAAGCAGTCGGCCAAATCCTCCAGAATGTGGGAAATTTCACAGGACAAATGATGTGGTTCCTTTGGCAAACAGCAAAGAAAAAAGGGGGTGGAGGATAGGTCTACAAGTTACGAGAGACTTAAGAGACACACCAGCCAAATGTAATGCGTGGATCTGGTTTGCATCTTGATTTGAATAAAACAGCTTTAAAAATAATTATGAGATCATCAGAAAAAGGGAAACATTGACCGAATATTTACCCATGACAAGAATTACTATTATCTCTTTAAATCTGATTAGGGTGTTATCATTGTATGAGTACAAAGAGCCCTTATCTTTTAGAGATATATACTAAAGTGTTTACTGGCAAAATAATATGATCTCTGGAATTTGCTTTAAAAGAATTCAATGGGGTTGGGAACAGATAAATTCAGGTTGGCTGTAAACTCATACTTGCCGTAGCTGGGGGATGGGTGCTCTGGGGATCTTTACACTGTTCCTTACTTCTATTTATACCTGACACTTTGTTTCTTTTAGATTTTATTTATTTATTTTCAGAGAGGGGGGAAGGCAGGGAGAAAGAGAGGGAGAGAAACATCAGTGTGTGGTTGCCTCGCATGCACCCACCCCACACTGGGGACCTGGTTCACAACCCAGGCATGTGCCCTGACTGGGAATTGAACCTGTGACCTTTGAGTTCACAGGCCAGCACTCAATTTACTGAGCCACAGCAGCCAAGGCCTATATTCGATACTTTCTTTTTTTTATTTAAATCATTTTTATTTTTCAATTAGAGTTCACATACAATATTATATTAGTTGCAAGTGTACATCCCAGTGATTAGATGTCACATAACTTACTAAGTGATCATCTTGATAAATCTAGTACCTCCCTATCTTGAGGGCAGAGTCTGCCCTGGGTCACCTCCATCTCCCCAGGACATGGTTCTCGGCATGAATGAATGAATGTCTCTTAGTCTTGGTTCATTTGTGGTTGAACCGCTGTAGCCCCCACTAGCAGCTAAGTTCCTCTTACGGCAAAGACCTGTCACATTATACGGGCTTGTTCTGCCGGAGAGGCAGCATAAAAACTGCAAGGGTTAATGACATTTGCCTCTCAGTGACTGGGGTTGGGTGAGTTTCCTGGGGAATCCAGCTGCTGGCTGGACTGACATGTACTGAGGAACTGGTGGCACCGGTGCTATTTTCTTTTTCTTTTTAAAAACATTTTATTTATTTTTAGAGAGAGGGGAAACACGATATGTGAGAGAAACACATACCACCAGTGGCCTCCCTCATGAGCCCCCATCTGGGGACCAGGCCCGCAAGCCGGGTGTGTGAGCTTCACTTCTCAGGCACAATGCCCAACCCACTGAGTCATGTCAGTACGTGATAGGCGCTATTTTCTGACTCAGAATCCAAAGGCCTAGCTCACACCCTTCTGGGCAACAGAAGAAAAGCCAGAGGAGCTAGATGCCTTACAAGCCTGAGGACACCAGATAAACAGACAGAAAGCTCTCCTTGGGAACTGGCCGCCAAGACCTCGTTAGGAAGCTTGCGGCGAGAACATAGCTCCTGGAGAACCTCACGTCTCCTAGGATGAGGTTGCTCCTGCCACTGATTTTCCTGGCCCACTGGGGAGTGGCCAGGGCTGAACCAGGTAGGCGCTGCAAATGCCTGTGATGTCTTTGTTTTGTACCATGAACTCAGGATCAAGGTTGCTGGAGGCTGCTCACAGAAAGCTGGTGGTGCTGCTAAAAATAACAAGGCAGGGAGCTGCGCATGGAGGCCAGGTGGGGGAGTTAGTAGGCTGTTCGGGTGCTGTCTGATCCTGAAGATTGTAAGTGGAGGTGACAGCTGGCCAGGGGAGGGACAATGACTTTGCTAAGAGGTGTTGAGGCATAAAAGCCAGCCAGCTGGTAGAGGGAGAAGCTGGCAGGAAGATTCGTGAATTCATTCAGCAAATATTGGTTGAGGGCCTTCTATGGGAAACCGAAAAAGGCGGCATTCATGCTGCCTGTCACCCACCAGACCCCATAAGCAGAGACAGGGACTGAATCTCTCTGGGTGCTTTGTTCAGATGGCCGGCGACCTGAGAAGACGGTGGGTTTGTACCCTAACAGGCCGTCTTCAGTTCCATTTTAAAATCTCCGTTTTTAAAAGGAGAACAAAGTGTAGGTAATAATGAGTTTGGAATTCAAGGAAAAGTTCATTAGATTTAAAACCTGCAGCATTCTCACCGTGGGCAGTTGTCTTTAGCTGTGTCCTGGGCAGTGGCTGTCTCGCCCTGGAGGACAATGACTCAGACACCACCTGGCTGGCTTGCCGTCCTCCTGAGGCACAGAGGTGGAACTGCTTGTGGTCTCCTGGAGTCAAGGCGGGTTATACCCTTAGTTCCTGGAACAGTAGCTTTTACGTGCTTTGATTACCAAACTTATTAGCTATTACCTAAACTAAAATTTCCCAACTTTCGAGTCCCCCATCATGTGCACCACAAGCTATGCCAGGAACCAGAAAAGAAAACAAACAAAGCCCCAGCCCTCCTGAAGCATTCCTTCATCTGGGAAGAAGCAAACCAAAAGGCACAGCAAAATACCTAGCATCCCAGGAGACAACAAGTTTTACGGAAAACAATGAAGCAGAGTAAAGGGAGGGGGAGGGGTGGCCAGAGAAGAGCTGCCTAATGAAGTGACAGCTGAGCGAGGACCTGAGGCAGGGAGGGGAAGAGCGATGTGGACATCTGGAGAAGAACATTCCAGTAAGAGAGGATGGAAAGTGCACAGGCCCTGAGCTGGACACACGGGAGAGTGTGAGGATGAGCGTGGCCGGGGCAGAGTGGGCGGGGCGGGCGGTAGAGGTCAGGGAACCCCGGGGGTGGGGCAGGAGGCTGCCAGCAGTTCCTGTATAAACTTGGAGGCATTTTGAGTCAGAAATGGGACATCATCAGAAGGTTTTAGGCAGAGCTGTGATGTGATTGGATGAGCGTATATTTAAAAGGAACCTCAGGCCATTGTACTGAGAAGAGGCAGGGGGATTAACTCTTGTTGGTTTGCCTGAGACTTTCCTAATTTTATTTTATCTTAAGACTTTATTTATTTATTTATTTATTTATTTATTTATTTATTTTTAGAGAGTGGGGGAGGGAGAGAGAAAAAGAAAGAGAGAAACATCAATTGGTTGCCTCTCACATGCCCCCAACCGGGGACCTGGCCTGCAACCCAGGTGTGTGCCCTGACTGGGAATTGAACTGGTAACTCGTCAGTACACAGGCTGGCGCTCAGTCCACTGACCCACACCAGCCAGGGCACTTTCCTAATTTTAGCACTTCAGGTTTGGCGTGTGGATGCTCCTGAAGTCCTGGGCAAACTGAGACACTCGGTCACCCTGGCAAAGGAGAAGCAGCCAAACCAGCAGGAAGACTGTTACCACCATCCGATGAGACAGGATGGTGGCTCGGCCTGGGGTGGCAGGGTAGGAGGTGGTGGAAGATGGTCTGATTCTGGTTTTTTGTTTGTTTATTTTTTCTTTTTGTTCTTTCTGATTCTGAACAAGACTTGTTGACAGGTGCTGGGAGTGAGAGAAGAGGGTTCCAGGGTGGTCCCAAAGTTTAGTCTTGGCAACTGGAAGGACAGGGTTGTCATTTGCTGAGATTCGGGAGGAGGAGAGGTTTGATTTGGGATACGTCCAGTCTGGGATGCCTGTTGGAGGGTTAAGTGTCCATGCGGTTAGAGGGGAGTCAGTGGGAGGGCTGCACCTGGAGTTTTCTTTAGGCTTCGAGATCGCCCTGCTCTGGAGTCCTTTGAATGGAGTCTTAGGGATGACCCAGCACCCTTCCTGCGACTGCAGAAACTGAGGCTGAGAGGGAAAGGACTGGCTCAGGGTTCTGCTTGCTGCTTGTCCCTTTGGAGCTCAGCCCTGGTCAGTCCTCCGGTCACCCACTTTCTCAGACCCTTTTCAGGAGCAGCTGGGAGCCCGGGAAAGTGCTCTGCCAATGTGGCCAGGCCTCTCAGTGAGGAGGGGACGGGAGGCGGTGGCAGCAGACCAGAGCGAAATGCTCTGGAAGCACCCAGATCCAAAAGCTGTGACTTAAAGGTGGAAATACCTCTGGAGCAAGCCCTGACAGGATGTGTCCTCCTTCCACTGGGAGGCAGACACCCAGCTCCCCCTGGGGGACTCAGAGCCCCACCAGTCTGACCGAAGGCTTAGGAATCATTGAACAACTCTTCCACTCCCTCACTCGTTCTCTCACTCTTGCACTTTTAAGATTTTATTTATTTATTTGTAGAGAGAGGGGAGGCAGGGAAAAGAGCAGGAGAGAAATATCAATGTGTGAGAGAAACATGGATCGGCTGACTCTCACACATGCCCCAACCGGGAACCTAACCTGCAACCCAGGCCTGTGCCCTGACCAGCGATTGAACCAGTGACCTTTCGGTTTGCAGGAGGACGCCCAACCAACGGAGCCACACCTGTCAGGGCACTCTCTCACTTTTAAATAAAGTTTTCTTAAAAATCCAAGTGCCAATGAGCAACTCTCCCAGCCCAGGGTCTTAGTGATTAAAAAGAATTTCTCCTCCCTCCAAATGCACTGAGGTGCCATTGCAGCATTTTCATAACACTCACAGAAAGTGCTAACGGCAGTAACAGACTAGCTAAGTAGATGAGGGTAAAGTCTCCTGGTGGAAAAGATTCAGGACAACACAGCAGGGTTGAAAACAATAAGTAACATTCACTAAATACTTATTATGTGCCTCACACTGCTGCAATTTCTGTGTAACACCCTCACAACAGCCTCGTGAAGTCGGGATTATCAAGGAAACTGAGCCTCAGCGAGAAGTTAAGCGACTAGCCAAGGTTACCCATCTAGTCGATGCCTGAGTCCGGACCTGAGCTGGGGCTGTACAATTCCAGCCTGTTTTAAATAATGTGACGTCAAAGCAAACACACACTCAGGAAAATAGCCACAAAGAGCTGACACTGGTTCATTGAGTGGTCACGATGGGCTGTGCTCGTGCTAGGTGCTCGGTCTATGTTCTCTTTTTAAGCCCGTTTGAAACACGAAATGAAAAGCTCATTTGATTTTTCTAGTCCCTGTGAAGCAGTTTCTATTACCAGTACATCCATTTTGCGGATGAGGAAAATGAGACTCGGGGGGCGGGACGCGACAGCTGCCCAGGATTCCAACGCTTGGAAGCGGCAGGACCAAGTCTGTACTGTGGACCTTAAACAAACAGCCAGATACTTCTCCAGCAACCTAGGTTTATTCAGGACGTGTGGTCTGATGGCGAACTACAGCCAGTCCAGAGAACCGAGGCCGGGAACGGTTCTCTTACAGGGGAAAGGAGCGTTTCCCGAGGACGGCTGTGAACAAGGAGTCCATTAGAGGAAACTGGTAGTTGAAGCGTAGTGGCTTTTCATTGGCTGAGTGGTTGCCAGGCCAGAAAACAATCCTCCTCCTTCGGGCTGGAGTAGTGGAGTAAAAAACACCGTCCTGTTGGCGATGGAAAGTAAGGAGGTAATTGACAGAGTGTTAGGGTATGAGAGCACCCGCTACAGGCCCTCCCACCTCCAGTTTAAATGAGGTTTCTGTTTATCAATCTTCACAGCACTCAGTTGCATCATGTCCTTGACTTATTCTCTTGGTATGATTTTTTAAAGACTTTATTTATTTATGTTTTGAGAGAAGGGGAGGGAGAGAGAAAGAGGGAGAGAAACATTTATGTGTGAGAGAAACATTCATTGGTTGCCTCTCACACACCCCCACCAGGGGACCTGGCTCTCAACCCAGGCATGAGCCCTGACTGGGAATCGAACTGGCAACCTTTCAGTTTGCAGGCTGGCGCTCAACCCACTGAGCCACACCAGCCAGGGCAGGATGATGGTTTTCATGGGGACTATTTTATTTTCTCCAAACTTTCTGATACGCATTTATAATTTTATAATTTAAAAACACAATTAAATTTTAAAATAATTCCACAGCACCTCTAAGATTTTACAGAATCTGAGTCTCTTTTAGAAGTGCCAGAGAACTCTGAAACACCCAATCAGATAGCAATCAAACCTGCTTTGCAAAAAAAACTGTAGAGTTTCTACCCTCATTTTCCTTAGCCAAGAGCTCGGGTCGGGCACCAACTTGCCGGCTCTTTCCCTCCTCCCACACACATGCTATGCAACACGGCATTATCCTTCAGCTTCTAATTGCACAAAATGGACAAGAGTTTTCAGCGTGGGTCAGTGTGGGAGAAAAATGTTTCCCTCCAGAATGATAAGCCTGCCTCACGGGGCTGTCGTGAGGAAAGGGCAATCCATGTAGCTAACACAAGGGGCCAGTAAACGCTGGATTTTACAAGTGAACCCCCAGTGTTTTGGGGGGGCCTTAATTTATGGAGGAGGAATAACGATGGAAGTGCTTGGGGTTATTGCCTAGTGTCAAAAACAAAGGACTGAAATGGGAACCAAGGTCATTCCATGGTGGGCATTATACACATAACAAAGTCACGGAATCACAGAGGGTTAGAACTGGGGGGCCTTCAGATAACCCTTGCTCTGCCCTCGGATCACACTTGAGGAAGCAAAGGCACCGGAGAAGGAAACCTGAGGCCCGAGGGACGGGGTGGCCGGGGGAATGCGCACTGCTGCCGGCTTGTCAGGCCCGCTGCC